GTTATTTTCTTCATGGCATCTTTTGCAGTGCAAAAGCTTTTTATTTTAATGCTAGAGGCCCAGTGCATGAATTCATGCACAGGTGGGGTCTGGCCTGTCGGGATGAGAAGACAGTAGGAGGTTGGCCAGCCAATCGCGGTGGACTGGTTGGGGGGTGGGGCCACAGGCGATTGGCTGGTAGACTCTATCCCTAATAGGGGGGTGGTAAGGGGTGATCTGGCTGTGGGGAGGGGCTGTGGGCAGTGGGCCAGCCTGCCTGGCCACCAAATGGGGTGGGGTTGGGGCAATCGGGGGTCAGCAGCTAGGAGAGGGGTTATGGGAGGTTGGCGGGCCAGCCTCACCCCCAAATGGTGTGGGGAAGCAACTAGAGAATGGAACTGGCTGGGGGAGGGGCTGCAGGCAGTTGGGTAGCAGCCCTGCCCCTGATTGGGGTGGGGGGGGCTTATTTGGGGTGAGGTCAGGTGGGAGGAGGGGCTGCAGAAGGTTGGCTGTTGGCCCCACACTGTATTGGGGTAAGGGGTGTGATTAAGGGCAGGGCCAGCCTGCGGGAGAGACTGCAGACCAATGGAGTGGTAGGGGCCCTTTGGGGACGGAGTTAGCCAGGGAGAGAGGCTGCAGGAGGTTGGCCAGCTGCCCCCACCACTATTGGGGTGGGGGAGCGATCAGGGGCAGAGCCTGGCAGGGGTAGGGGCTCCAGGGGGGTTGGCAGGCCACCCAGCCCCCCCCCCCCCCCCCCCCGATTGACTGGTTCACTGGCTGCAGTGGGTGTCATAGCCACTGGTCATTCTGGTCACTGGCTTTTTATATGTATTGATAGTCCTATTTGTTTATTTTCTCTTTAGTTTTCCTTTGTCCTAGGAGATGTATGGGTAAATATAGTGCTATAAGAAGTGGCTGAGATTTTACTGCCTATGGTTTCTTCTAAAACTTTTACAGTTTCACATCTTACATTTAAGTTAAAGTTAGATTGTTTATTTGAGATTTCTCTTGTTTCTTGAGCTAAGCATACAATTCCATAAATTTCCCTCTTAAGAATGCTTTCCATAGGTCCCATAGATTTTGGGTTTTTATGTTCTAATTTTCATTTGTTTCATGGTATCTTTTGATTTCTTGCTTGATCTCATTCTTTACCCATTCATAGTTTAGTAGCATGTTATTTACCGTCATTGATCTTTAATTCAATTATCACTGGTAAAAATTACCTAATTAAAATTACTATGTATTTTTTTTCTCCATGTAAATACACTGACTAAAACCACTTAAAAGTGAAAATTTTAGTCTAAGAAATTAATTTAATATCATGTATACAATAGTAATTTATTAAATTAACATGCTCTATAAATCCAATCTAAACCTGGTAGACCCAGCAACAGTTTTTGTTTCTTTGTTTGTTTTCATATTTCACTGACAGCATTTTGTAATATTTCAGCTGAACCCAGTTCTAATGTACTTAACTTTGAGTAAGACTGGCAATACTTATAGACTTATTAAAAAGCTGACTCAGCCAAAACCAGTTTGGCTCTGTGGATAGAGCGTCAGCCTGCGGACTGAAAGGTCCCGGGTTCGATTCCGATCAAGGGCATGTATCGGGTCTAGTAATAATTAATGTCGTTTTTAAACATTCGTTTAAAATCTTGCTTGGCGTTGACTTGTATTGACATAACCTTCAAACACGTGGTATCTACAGAACGTGTGAAGGGCAATTAACAAGTTTTGCTTGAAAAAGTTTGTGTTTGGTTTGGTTTTTGTTGCAAAACTAGGGCTAAGAAGATGGTGGATGAAGAGCATATTCGGCATTGCATGCTTTACGAGTTCCAATTAGGAAGAAAAGCAAGTGAGGCTGCAAAAAACATCTGTAGAGCTCTTGGTCAAGATGCAGTTAGTGCCAGAAAATGCCAGCGTTGGTTTGAGAAATTTCGCGAGGGAAATTTTTCGTTAGATGACAAGAGTGGTCGAGGCCGGGTGTCCAATTTTGATCAAGAAGCTCTTCAAGCTCTTTTGGTGCAAAATCCTCAAATTACCCAACAAGAGCTTGCGACAACTTTAAATTGTTCACAAGAAACAATTTCCAATCAATTGCGTGCACTTGGCAAAGTCCAAAAGTTTGGAAAATGGATTCCTCATGAGTTGACCGACAACAACCGTAATCAAAGAGTCACAATTTGCAGTTCGCTCCTCTCTCGTCAAAACCGTTTGCCATTTTTAGAGCAAATTGTAACCAGAGATGAAAAATGGGTGCTGTATGTTAATTTGAAAAGGCGGCCTCAATGGTTGGACAAAAATGAGGCTCCGCAGCCCACGCCAAAACCTGATTTGCATGCGAAAAAAGTGATGTTGTGTGTTTGGTGGAATTTTAAAGGAATTCTTCATTATGAACTTTTACCATCTAACCAAACCATTACAAGTGCAATGTATAGTGCCCAATTGGGAAGGTTAGCCCAAGCTTTAAGAGAAAAAGAACCCGCGCTGATTAATCGGAAGGGCGTAATTCTTCACCACGATAACCCACGACCGCATACTGCAAGAATCACTGCTGAAAAACTGCGCCAGTTGGAATGGGAAGTTCTCCCTCAACCTGCATATTCTCCTGATATTGCCCCTTCCGATTACCATTTGTTTCGTTCTTTGCAAAACTTTCTTCTTGGAAAAAAATTTAATAATGAAGAATGCCTCAAAAATGCATTGACCGAATTTTTTGCATCAAAATCACAAGAATTTTACAACAGAGGGATTAAAATGCTTCCTGAGCGTTGGGCACAAGTAGTAGAAAACAACGGCAACTATATTGTTGATTAAATTTTGTTGTATTGTTTAAATAAATTCGATTTAAAAAAGTATTAGAAAACGGCATTAATTATTACTAGACCTAATACCTTGGTTTCGGGAACAACCCGTTGGGGGTGTGCAGGAGGCAGTTGATCAATGTTTCTCTCTCATCCATGTTTCTAGCTCTCTACGCCTCTCTCTTCCTCTCTGTAAAATATCAATAAAATATATTTTTTTTTTAAAAAGAAAGAAAAGCTGAATCACTTTTACATGACTCAAAGATGTAAAAAGGGATCCCAAGGAAATTCAGGCAGTAACATGTTCAAAATTCTTCTTCCTCTATTTTTAATATTTTTCTCTTTATTTAATTCATTGATTTGAAAGAGAGAGGAAGGGGAAAAGAGAAACAGATCTGTTGTTCATCGAACCTGCAACCTTGGTGTATCAAGAAAACAATCTAACCAACTGAGCTACCTAGCCAGGGCTTTAATTTTCTTCAAATAGACAAATGATTTTCTTAATATTTTCCAAATAATTGCCAACTACTGTTATGTTAGTCCATGCCTCATTACTGTCTTTTGGAAACTGTTAACTATCTCAACAAATATAGGATATAATTTTGCTACACAAAACACTACCTTATAATATTAACTATTAGGAGACTTTGCTTGGGTTTCCCAGGCAATGCAGGAAGCCAAGCTTTCCACACACCCTGGTGGGCCCAGGCCTCCACTCAAGGGTACAAAATTTCAATTACAAAAGGTAAATAAATTCCAATAAGAATGGCGGCAGCCACTGAGCTGAAAAAGCAGGAGGAGGCTAGGATAGCCCGGGAAATGGAGAAAGCCAAGCTTCTGCGGTCCTGTCAGGCCTAGGCCTCCACTCCAGGCTACAAAGTTTCAATTGTAGAAGGTAAATAAATTCCAACAGAAATGGCTGCTATCATAGAGCAACCAGGAGGCTTGGCTCTGCTCCAGGCTACAAAGTTTCAATTGTAGAAGATAAATAAATTCCAGATACCAGAGCCTCTGCTTGGGGGGGGGGGGGGGGGGCGCAGAGCCTCGGGGAGCGTCTGGCCTGCAAACCACCACAGGCCCTCACCCAGGCCACCTACACCCCAAGGGAACCTCCAACCTGATCCGGGACACCCTTCAGGGCAAACCAGCCAGCTCCCACCCATGCATCAGGCCTCCATCCTATCTAATAAGAAAGTAATATGCAAATTGACCATCACTCCAACACACAAGATGGCTGCCCCATGTGGACACAAGATGGCCAGCATGGGAGGATAGTTGGGAGGGAACAGGCCTGCAGGGAGGGAAGTTGGGGGGCGATCAATCCTGCAGGGTAGAGCAGTTAGGGGTGACCAGATTGGCAGAGGAGGGAAGTTGGGGGCAAACAGGCTGGCAGAGAAGCAGTTAGACATCAATAAGGCTGGCATGAGAATGGTTAGGGGGTGATCAAGCTGGCAGGCAGAAGCTGTTAGGGGCAATCAAGAAGGTAGGCAGGTGAGCAGTTAGGAGCCAGCAGTCCTGGATTGTGAGAGGGCAGTCAGACATTCCTCGAGGCAAGATGGGCTGAGGGACACCCCCCCTTCATGAATTTTGTGCACTAGGCCGCTAGTGTTTAATAAAAGTATTAGTCTACAAAGGATTGAGGGGAAAAAATTTTAAAACTTGCTCTTCACCATAGATATTTTGAGGACTGGTCTATCCCACATCATTATATAACAGACCAAGTATGTTCACATTATTTGAATTCTACACACTCTCCAAAAGTACCCAGTCTATAAAGCAGATGCTAAATAAAAGGTTTCATAAGTGAATTAAATGACTAACACTTAAAATAAATATTATAAAAGTAGCTAAGAACTTTATTATCAATTGAAAAGTAATACTATTAATTATTACATGGCTATTATATAGGTATATAATACATAATATTATTATTATTTATAACAGGATAATATTAGCTTTTCTCCTCCTCTCAGGAGATAAGATAAATAGAAGAATATTTTATAGAATGTGCCTTAGGAATAGATTTTTTAATTGCTTTACAATTCTTACCAATGAGTATTTTAGCAAATAAGCTGGGCTAGAATGAAATAAAATGCTATTAATCATAAATGTTCATTTTCTAGACATGGATATCACTCTAAATAGGAACCCAGTTTGGAAAAGCACAATCCAGAATAGTATTGATATGTAAATTAAATTTCTAACAAATCAACTTACTTCCTTGCAATGGTGGTCACTCGAATGCGTCTCTGCCCACTTGAATGCTGATACTGAGTCACAAACTGAATTGCACCACGCCCTCCTTGAGGAATTGGAGCATTGTGCTGTTTAAAAGAGTGAAAATAAACAAAATCTATTATGTTGTTGTCATTTAGTCATTGACTGCATATCCTAGCACTAATAAAATAAATTTTAATATTGATTAGAAGGATTTTTTTACAGTACATACAAAACAGTTGTAATATGTCACATAAAAGAGAACTGGATTTGGCAAAGGGGGAAAATGATGAAGGATAAGAGTTCAACTAGGATATCAATTTCATGTAATACATAATTCAGAAGGATATGAAAAAAGAAATTAAAGGAGAAGTGTAAAAAATTAATGGATAAGGAAAGGGCTGAGGTAATTTTGCCTAACAGTAATAGGAAATAGAAACTGAACTAAGTCATACTCCCCTATGAGTGTAAAATGAAAACAGAACTTTTAGGAAGATAATCACATGATGAACAGATAACCAATAGGAAACTATTTTTTTTAATATATTTTATTGATTTCTTTTTTTTTTTTACAGAGAGGAAGGGAGAGAGATAGAGTTAGAAACATCAATGAGAGAGAAACATCGATCAGCTGCCTCCTGCACATCCCGCACTGGGAATGTGCCCACAACCAAGGGATATGCCCTTGACTAGAATCGAACCTGGGATCTTTCAGTCCGCAGGCCGACACTCTTTCCACTGAGCCAACCCTGTTTCAGCTAGAAAACTATTAATGAGAAGAGAGTAATGATTATAGTAATGATCCTCAGAAAGAAATAGCAAGTAGTTAAAAGGAAAACTTCATGCCCTTTGATGATATTCTTGCTTTGATTCTGGTTTGTTTTGGTCAATAACAGCAATTATATTTCCCCAAAATTTTAACTGTTAAAAAAAAAAAATCTTGTACCTATCTTAGAAAGGCTGTTAATTGTCTGTGATTCATTTTATGCCTAATAACTACTGGTATATAAATCAGTAATTTATACATTAAATGATTTAATGTATGTATATATATGTATGTAGTGTATATATACGTGTGTGTGTGTGTGTGTGTGAGAGAGAGAGAGAGAGAGAGAGAGAGAGAGAGAGAGAGAGAGAGAGAGAGAGATTTAATATTACTTCATCCTATAACAAAAAAAATCTTTCCAGTTATTGGAATCTTTTTTAAATTTTTACTTTATTGATTTTTAGAGAAGAAGGAAGAAGGAGAGATAGAAACCTCAACGATTAAAGAGAATCATTGATTGGCTGCCTTCTGTATACCCCTATGAGGGAATAGAGCCTGCAACCTGGGCATGTGACCTGACCAAGAATCAAACTGTGACCTGGTTCACAGTTGATGCTCAACCACTGAGCACACCAGCTGGGCCAAATATTGGCATCTTTACCTAGTAATTTTTTTCTATGTGTTTTCACATATTAAACTTTCTTATGCTTACTTCAGCAGCGCACATACTAAAATGGAATAATACACAGAAGGTTAGCATAGCCCCAGTGCAATAATGACACACAAATTTGTTGAGAATTCCAGATTTTAAAAAATATATAAGGGGGGTGAATCCTTCTTGCCGGACTCACATATCATTACATATATGTACCTTTTCACAATTAGGAACTAGATATCAAATTACAAAAATGCATAATTAGGACAAAATTTAAGATTTTACTTACGCTTCAATTTTATATTTAAAAACAAAAACGGAGACTAAATTGGGTTGCCCAAGGTTGGACATTTGCCAGTTTCCCGGACATCTCTTTCTGTTACAGTATGTCCTCTCACAAGAAGTTTAACTTTGAAAAATAGAAAATAATAAGTACTCCAAAATAGAATGAGCTTTGGGTTATATTTACTATTGGAAGAAAAAATTCGAAAAAATCATGGCCTAAATTAAGTACTTGTTTAAATATACACTTCAATATTCCAATATAAAGAGTCATACCTGATTGACAACCTCAAAATATATGGCTAAGGTTGTAGTGGGACTAAGCCCACATATCTTCCATTGACAAGTGCCACCTGTTCCTATCTCCTGTAAAAATAAAATATAACACGTTTGAAAACTAGACAACATAATTTATTACTATAATATATACCAAGGTGAAAAGAGGGGGAATAAAACCTCCAGTAAGAAAAAATCCATTTCAGGTTTCTAACAAATTCATTGAATATTAAAAAATTAAACATTTTAAATCATATAAAATAAACATAAAATAAAATTAAGCAACTTTTACACAATAAAATTATAAAATAATTCACATTTATGCTAACTAAATACACAAGTATTGATATAAGTTCTCCATATTGTAGACTTTCAAAAAGTATATTCCACTGGATGAATTACAACTAAATCCTTCTATCGAATTATTTGATATGTGTAAAGAAATAATGATTTAACACATAATATATGCACATAAGAATACAGGTTCTTACAAGTTCTCTGGATCAGAACTGCTAAGCAGGCTTATTCCCAAGAAAAAATTTAAGAAATAAATCTTCATCATGTAAACTACTTAATATTAATTTTTAACTCATTTTAAAGATGTTTACCCACGTTGTGTTATTTATCCATCATCCTCTCTACAGTAACAGTACATAATTCTACCATTTTTAAGTACATTATACACCCACTAAATGTAATAATAAGTATGGAATTGAAGCATAAGTCTATCTAATTTGTTTATTTTGTTGTAGATTCTACTAACAAAAAAATTCAGAGAAACCAAGATGGTGGCATAGGTAAGCACCTAAACTGCTGCCTCACACAACAATTTCAAAACTACAACTAAAAGACAGAATGGACATCATCCAGAACCACAGGAAAGCTGGCTCCATGGAAATTTTACAACTAGAAGGAAAGAGAAAAGCTCAATGGAGAATCAGAAGATTTACAAAGGGCTGAGTTATGAAGATACGTGCGCAGAGAGGAAGGCAGATGAGTGCCTGGCTGGCTTTCTCTGGCAGGAGAAAGAAGCTGCTGACTGCACTGAACCCCAAATGTGGGCAAAACCCTGTAGACCCAGGCTCATAGGGGGAGTCTGGACTGTCAAATAAAGAGAAAGGCACACGGACACTTGGAGACTTGGAGGAGCCATGGTGGGTAGGGTTCTGGAGGTGCACATACACAAGTGTGTGCAGGGAGGAATGACTGCTGAGGTTGCCACTGGCTTTCCCTAGTGAGAGGGAGACAGAAGCTCCCAACTGCACTGAACTCCAGTTGCAAGAGAGAATCTGGGAATCCAGATTCATCGAGGGAGAAACTGGACTGTCTGAAAGTCGAGGGCAACTTTCTCTCAGAGGTGCTTGCAGCAATTACCAAGGGACACTGAGACCCAGGGACCTCATTGGGCAGGGCTTAGGGGAAGCCAAGACTGCCTGCTCAGTTCTGAGACTCGGCCCCATCCAAGCTGAGCATAGAGGCTTTTGCAATTTTGCAACTCTGGTCCCATAAGGCTGTCTACAGCACAGAAGTTCTCCTGGCATAGACACAGCTGATCCTCACAGCCAATTGGCCTGAAGCTCAATTCCTCCCAGTGATATTAACAACAATCAAGTCTTAACTACATCAAGGTTGTACACACAGTCCACAAAGAGGTGCATCAAAAGTGTCCACCTCAGGTAACTGGGGAGGCTAACCAACTAGGCGATGTAGGACATCTAGCAAACAAGGCCACCCTATCAACTCAGGGAAGCAGCGAAAATGCAGAGAAAAAGAAACAGATCACAAACAAAAGAAATGGAGGAAAACAAACGAATGGATATAGAGTTCAAAACCACAGTTATAAGGTTTATCAAGAATTTCCTAAAAAAGGCCAATAAATTTAGCAAGACCCTCGAGGATATGAAAAAGGACCAACTAGAAATTAAACATACACTGACTGAAATAAAGAATAATATACAGAGACCTAACAGCAAACTAGAGGAACATGAGAATCAAGACAAAGATTTGAAATACAAAAAAGCAAAAAACACTCAACTGGGAAAGAAAAAAGAAAAAAGAATAAAAAAACTTGAAGTTAGTGTAAGAAGCCTCTGGGACAACTTCAAGCGAACCAACATCCGAATGATGGGGGTGCCAGAAGAAGAGAGAGAGCAAGATATTGAAAACATATTAGAAGAAAACTTTCCCCACCTGGTGAAAAAAATAAATTTACAAGTTCAGGAAGTACAGAGAACCCCGAACAAAAGGAATCCAGAGGACCACACCAAGACACATCATATTAAAATGCAAAGAGCAAAAGACAAAGAGACAATATTAAAAGCAGCAAGAGAAAAACAGTTATCTACAAAGGAGCACCAAAAGGATTGTCAGCTGATTTATCAACAGAAACTATGCAGGCCAGAAGGGAGTGGCAAGAAATATTCAAAGTGATAAATAGCAAGAAACTATAAGCAAGATTAGTCTACCCAGCAAAGCTATCATTCAGAATTGAAGGTCAGATAAAAAGCTTCACAGGTAAGAAAAAGGTAAAGGATTTCATCAACACCAAACTAGTATTATATGAAATTCAAAGAGGAAGAAAAAAAAAAGTAAAGATTAAAATTATGAACAACAAATACATATCTATCAACAAGTGAATCTAAAAATCAAGTAAATTAGAAATCTGATGAACAGAATGAAATAGTGAATATAATAGAATCAGGGGCCTAGAAAGGGAGTGGACTGATAATTCTCAGGGGGAAAGGGAAGTGACTAGACAAAAATGGTACACCTATGGATGGATGAGGTAAGGGTAGAGTGTGGGGTGGGAACTAGGTGGAGGGTAGCTATAGGGGGAAATGGAGAAACAATTGTAATAGTCTGAACAAAGATTAATTTTTTTTTTAAATTCCCCAAAAAATGTCAAAAAAAAAAATTCAGAATTAATTTTGATTTTCAGAAGTCTCCAAATTTCTAAATCATGGTTGTTGTTTTTCAGGCATACTGGGGTAAGGAATAACTTAGACGTAAAAAACAGAAGATTGGTGACAGTACAAAAGTTTTAATTTAGGAGTGTGTGGCAAAAGGGGTATTCGCACATAGCAATTACAAAGGAGGTATACCGATAGAAGCTGAGACACATTCTACTAAAAAACTGAGTCCAGCCGAAACCGGTTTGGCTCAGTGGATAGAGTGTCAGTCTGTGGACTGAAGGGTCCCAGGTTCAATTCCGGTCAGGGGCATGTACATTGGTTGCGGGTACATCCCCAGTGGGGGGTGTGCAGGAGACAGCTGGTCGATGTCTCTCTCTCATCGATGTTTCTAGCTCTCTATCCCTCTCCCTTCCTCTCTGTAAAAAATCAATAAAATATATATTTTTTTAAAACTGAGTCCACACAATATTTTTAAAGCAATGCAATAAGGTGCCACCCAGGTCTCTATTGGTTATGTCCTAAGAATTAAACTGTACTTTATTTTCAGAATAAAGGTGACTTACATTTTCAGACACACAGGGTCCTTTAGAATTGAGAGACACACAGGGTCCAATAGCTCCTGAAACTTTTATTTCCCTTGAGGTCTGCAAATAAAAACATAGTACTCTTTGGTGTGCTCAAAGATAAGCTCAAACATTCAACTATAAGTATTTAGGAATAAATATTTTCTTCCACATTTAAAGTTCAATAAAAATACACTAATGTTAAAATAATTAATCAGTGAGCACTTCTATGTTAACTTCCAAATTTAAAATCTAGCGATGACCTAACATTAATCCTCCTCTATTTCAGTTGCCCAGAGGAGGTCTCCATTTGATAACTCATCCTCAATTAAATATCATACCATACCCAAAATATATCCTAACTCAAAACCTTAAACACCAGCTTCTATTTTTCCTTAACCTTCAATAACTGCTTCAGCCTACATATGCCTCTAAAAACTGCAATCAACACACAGAATTAAACTACTTCCCTTACATTCCAATACAAACCATCCACTCTCCAAATATACTGTGCTGATTCTCACCTCTGTGTCTCTCCTCACACTGGGCTCCTGACTAAAATGCATTCTCTTCAACCAAATTAAATGCCATTTCTGCCATTTTCAAAATCCAGTGTAAGTCACAATAAAATTGTTTATTTTCTGAGATAAACTGTATCCCGAATGCATTCACCTTTCATTCCTAAATCTTTATAGCACTTTCATAATCTATTATTATTAAAATCTATTCCATATTAAACTTGTCTATCTATCAAAACTAAATCTATTTATAAGAAGACCTGATCTTTAGATATCCCTATGATCTCTACAATTTCTTAGCTTAAAGCTGGACATTTAGCAAGCATTCAAAAAAATAGCAAGAAATATTTAATGAAAATTCAGTATCAATGTGCTTTCAATGCACTTGATACTAGCACTAAACCTTTGGGTTTTTAAAATTAAAATTTGAAATGAATGATAGAAATAATATCAACAACCTACCAACTATAAAACAATTACTGATTATTCAAGTAGACCAGAAAAGGTTTCTCTTAAATTAGATAAAAATTATGCAATTTAAAAAAATCTAGCAGTAGCATAAGCAAATTCAGCCCTAAAAAAGATCAAATGCACTAAAAATGTTAAACCCTATATAAAAGAAAAAATAAAGTTAAAGCAAATTTTACCTATATAATATCTTCTTTTCTAGCAAGTATGCAGAAATGCTCAAGTAAACTTTCATTGTACATTTCATAATGAACAAAACATCTTGTTAATGAACAAAACATCTAACACTGGGTTTCAATATAATATAACCACTATTTTTAAAGGATATGTTGTATGTGATTAATGGTAAAATTATGATCAAGCCTACAAATTTATCTTGATAACATACCACACGTGTCAAGTTTTGCTTCTTACCTTTATTTCTAATGTACCACCAAAACCCATTTTAAACTGTCCATGTATATCTTTGGTGAAGACTCTTTGAAAAGTTTGCTTGAATAAGGAAGTATTAAAAGAATCACCCATTACCATGTATCCTCTGCATGGGGGGGAAAAAAAACAAAACAATGTAGGTGACACAAGTGTCTAAATATGTGTTAAAACCAAAAATATAAATTATATCTTAGTACTACTAAAAATTTTTTAAATACTTCCTAAAATGTGCTACATTACCATTAATTTTTAAAACAAACATTTGATAATGTACTTACTGTACAAATAATCTAAACCCTGAGGGTAACTGCATTTGTCCTAAAAACTGCATTTTTAAAAAGTCCACACATAATAACATTCAAAACATGCAAAAGAGTACATAGTAACAAACGGGTTCCTCCCTCCAACTCACCCTATTCTCCATATTGGTGAAGATACCTGACTATTTACAGTCTGCATTCTCATTCTTTTTTTTTTAAATATATATTTTATTGATTTTTTACAAAGAGGAAGAGAAAGGGATAGAGTTAGAAACATCGATGAGAGAGCAACATCAATCAGCTGCCTCCTGCACATCCCCTATTGGGGATGTGCCCAAAACCAAGGTACATGCCCTTGACGGGAATCAAACCTGGGATCTTTCAGTCCACAGGCCGACGCTCTATCCACTAAGCCAAACCAGTTTTGGTTGCATTCTCATTCTTAATAATAAATAGATGTATATGTGTGTATGTCTATATATGCAAAATTGTCCCTCTGTATGTCAATCGAAAGTTTGCGTTATACCCAATGAGTGAGAGTAGGACATTGAGGAACCATTTTCATTTTATGTACTAACTAAAGGCCCGGTGCATGAAAATTCATGCACTGAAGGGGAGTCTCTCAGCCTGGCCTGCCCCCTCTCACAGTACGGGAGACCTCAGGAGCAGAAGGTGACCTGGGGATCAGCGGAAGGCGATGCCCCCATCACATTTCTGCTGCTACCACTGCCAGCAGCACAAGCCTCAGCCAGCCATGGTAACCTGAGCCTCAGGAGGCCCTGGGAAGCTTGGCAGTTGCCATCCAAGATTTGCTGTGCCTCAGGCCAGCCCTGGGTGGCTGGGGGCTGAAATGACTGGGATACTCCGGAGGCAGGCGCATGGGGCAGCTGGACCCACCTGGGGGCAGTCCCAGCCATGCCTCGTACCTGATGCCCCAGCCGGGCTGAGGGGGCTGGGCAACACCATCTTGAGGATGTGGCAGTCAATTAGCATATCCCCTCTTTATTAGATAGGATATATTGTTAATCCTTTTTTTCAGTAAGCATGTACCTATTTTAACTTTTTAAAATTCTAAGAAACAATAACTGTCAAAAACTATTCCAAGATTCTTCACTAATCAGCAAAAATCACATATTCTGTTGAAATATTTGACAACATATTCTGTTGAAAATGCTATGGAAAAACAGGCAGTCTCATACATTGCTAATAGAATAAAAAGTGTGCAACCCCAATGCAAAAGAACTTGACAATATCTAACAAAATTACATATGATGTGTAGTTTCTCTTTAATCCAGCCATCCCACTATTAGAAATCTATCCCACAAATATTCTGGAAAAAATAAAAAGCAAAGAATATACATAAGGCTATTCACTGAAGCACTTTTTGTAATAATAGAATATTGGAAACAATCCAGATTTCCATTTATTGAGACAAATTGAATAAAATATGGCACATGCACAAAATGGAGGAATACACTGCTATAGAATAATTTCTAATACAAAAGTGGGGGAAGATGTGTAGATTTTCTGTTTATATAAAAAGGGGGATACATCCCTAACCAGTTTAGCTCAGTGGGCAGAGCATCAGCCTTCGGACTCAAGGGTCTGGGTTCGATTCTGGTCAAGGGCATGTGCCTTAGTTGCAGGCATATTCCCAGTGGGAGGTGTGCAGGAGGCAGCTGATCGATGTTTCTCTCTCATCAATGTTTCTAACTATCCCTCTCCCTTCCTCTCTGTAAAAAATCAACAAAATATATATATTTTTTAAAAAGATGAATACAAACACCCACATACACATATGAATACAAATATTCGCATATATTTGATCATATTCTAAAAACACTTTACGTAGTTTTAAACAATAAAAAATTAAAATAGGCAAAAGAATAAAATTGATGTGCTATAATTAATAGTAATTTTACTTTTGATAATATTAAAGCCTTGTTTTATGCTATCTCTGATGCCATTATAGATTGTATCTTTTTAAATTTTATTTTCCTTATGTTACTGGCATCTATAATAATAATCAATAATAATAAAGCATAATATGCTAATTAGACTGGATGTCTTCCCGGATGTCCTTCCAGACGACCTTCTGGACGAAGCTAAGACTGGTAGGGAAGACCGGCCTGGGTGCCTGCCGGCAGCCAGAGGGAAGCCTGGGTGCAGGGAATCTGGGGGGAAGTTTGAGTCCCCAGAGCCAAAGGGAAGCTGGTGCTGGCAGCTGGGGGAAGGAAGGCCTACTATTGCACAAATTTCATGCATCAGGCCTCTAGTATAAAAATACTATTGAATTTTGTACACGGACCTTGACCTAGAAGTCTTGACAATTTAACATATTAATTTTTAAAGTATATACATAGTTTGTATATAGATTCTTTCAATTTTTCTAGTTTTATAAACATGTCATCTATGACAATCTGTATTATCACTAAACTTGATAATGCATCCTAGATTAATGACAATTTACACGGCCCCACTCGTCTGCTTCCTTTAACAGCAAACCTCTCTATTCACTTACTACTCACTGTGGCTCTTGTTCAAGCAACATTAATATCACCAAGGATCTTGCTTGAAAAGTAGAATTTCAAATCTAGATATACTAAACCCAGAATCTGTATTTTAACAAGATATCTAGCTGATCTGTGCGTGTGAAAGTTTGGGAAGTTCTGGTCTATAACAGCTGCCTCCAATCCCCTTTGTTTGTTCTTTTTCTAATTCACTCTATGTCAGCTTTCACTGCCCTTAGGAAGGTTACCATGACCTTTATAGAATTATATTTCATAATTTTACAATCTCAACCATTTTTATAGTTTTTTTTAAAAATCACTAATATTCTGACAACTCCCATATTCAAATTTCCGTCCCAAACCTATTCCTTGAATTCTAGGTTGCACATTATATCTGAGTGCCTACTAGACACCTCCTCATAGATGTCTACTAGCAACTTAAATCAAACATGTTCAAAAATAAACAACCAAACTTTCCCCCAAATACTTTTCCTCCCACAGTCTTATTCATTTCAATAAAGGGTAACCCAATTCTTCCAGTAAATTCCTTTGGTTTTCCCAAGCCCCAGATGCAATCTATCAGCAAATCATCTACCATCTAACCCTAACAAGTTTGGCTCAGTAGATAGAGCATCATCCTGTGGATTCAAGGGTCCCAGGTTCGATTCTGGTCAAGGGCATGTACCTTGGTTGCAGGCACATCCCCAGTATGGAGTGTGCAGGAAGCAGCTGATCGATGTTTCTCTCTCATCGATGTTTATAACTCTCTATCCTTCTCCCTTCCTCTCTGTAAAATATCAGTAAAGTTTTTGTTTTGTTTTTAATCCTCTACTTTCTAAATATATTCAAAATCCAACTACTTCTCACCACTTGTCATGCTACCACCTGGTATTTCCTGTATTTCTATACAGTAAGACCTCATTCTTGGAAACTGAAATTTTAAGTGAAACAACCTATAACAAACAAATTTTACCATAGGCTAATTGATATAATCACAAATTAAGTTCCTATGGCATATTTCTGATGACAAAAATATCATCAAACTGGGAAGGGGCACGTTAACCTCCAGGCCAGGGCTCAACCCCAGGCCAGGTGTTCGCCGCCCCCCTTTCTGGCCCCCCCACACTGTCCTGCTCCCATTCCCTGCCTGGGATGCCTGGCCCAGCGTGGGTGCCCAAGGCCCATGCAGCCTGGGTGCTGCTGCGAAGCAGGAGCGCCTCCACCGAGAAGGCCTTGGACTGACATCCACTCCATCTTGAACCCGTGGGCGCCTCCAGCCAACGGCTGCCACCACCCTCCTCCCGTCTCTGGGTGGGGCTCCCCACTCTGCGCCACCTACACTCAACCCCTCGCCAGGAGCACCTGCTCCGGGCCCCCTGCCCAGGTGGTTGCCACCCGCTCCTGTATGCAGCCCTGTGTTTTCTTCCCTTTTCCATTCCTGCATACTTTTCTTGTTTCCTTGCTATATTTCTGTTTCTCCTCTCAGCCTGTCTGCATGCAGGCCTGCCTTCCTCTCCCTCTCCTTTCTTATCCCCTCCTATAGTATCCTATCCTACCCCGGGGGGCTTGCAGCTACCTGAGCTTGCAGCTACCTGAGCAGAGACACAGCCTGCTGATCCGGTCATGACGTGATGCTGTAATGGACAATTTGCATATTTCTCTATTATTATTATAGATAACTACAAAAATTATAAAAATTTAAATACATACCCAGTAAGGTTGGGACAGCATTTCATCTCCAGGAGACCTGTCTGATCTAATGCGCATGCATAAATATCAATGACGTGACCAGTCGTGGCAGCTCGATTAGCCAGTGCTTCAAAATGCTACAAAAGATTTTTTAATGACATAACATTAATGTATAAACTGATCATTCTATAATTCTTTTCCCCATTAATAAAAATAATCTACAAAATACTAAAAGAATAATCCACAATAATTTAATGCAATGTTATAACTTAATTTTAATGTTATAAAATAATATAACTTCTATAAATATGCTACTTTCACATTCTTCTTTAAAAGCCATTCTGCCCAGTTGGCTCAGTTGATTCAGTTGGTTGAATGTTGTCCCATGCTCCAGAAGGTTACCTGTTCAATTCCCAGTCAGGGCAAAAGGTTGCTGGTTCAATTCCTGGTCAGGGCATATACCCAGGTTGGGAATTACATCCCTGGGAAGGATATGTATGGGAAGAACTGATCAATGTTTTTCTCTCACATCTATGTTTATCTCTCTCTTTATCTCTCTCTCTCTCTCTCTCTCTCTCTCTCTCTCTCTCTCTCTCTCTCTCCCTTTCTCCCTCCCCCTCTCCCTTTCCTTCTCTCTCTCCCTCTCCTTCTCCCTCTCTCCCTCCCTAACTTTTCCTCTCTCTCTCTACTATCAATAAAAACAAATATATTTTTAAAGCCATTCTTTCTAAATACAGTGGTCTCCACTTATCTGTGTTCCAAGACCTCCAGTTGATGCCTGAAACCAAGGATATTGCTGAACATTATATGTGCTATGTTTTTTTCCTATACAAACATTCCTTTTCAATTAAGGAAGCATTTTACTGCTTCTCTCCGGCATATTCAAATTGCCATCACCACTACTCTTGCACTTTGAGGCCATTATTAAGTAAAAGTAGAATACAAGTACTAGAATAGTGACAGATTAGAACACAAGAACTAGGATACCATGACAGAAATGGTTACTAAGTGACTACTGGGCAGGTAACATCTACCATGTGAATACGCTGGGAAAAGAAATTAATCATGTTCAGAGATTATTCTGTCCCAACAGAAGTAAGCAATTTAAGATTTATGAGTTGTTTATTCTGGAATTTTCCATTTAATGATTTTCGGTCTGTAGCTGTCCATAGGTAACAGAAACTAAGGAATGTAAAACCACGAATAAGGGAGGACTACTGTAAACTCCTAAATTAGGCTAAACTTGAAGAAAGGCACACTGAACAATTTACTCTTCATACATAAAAATTATACAACAGCACAGAACTCTTTTTCCCAGTTAAATCCACACCCAAGAAACAAAAACATCAAAATAGAGGATAAAAAGGCAGTAAAATAAACAAACATAAAACATTTTTTGAAGTTCTAAGAAAAATTCCAAGCACAAAAGGAAAAAATTAAATGGTAGGGGGGAAAAGCATTTATAGTGACAAAAATTGTTATTAAATACACTTAAAATTACATAATAAATAGCCTGGTCAGTGTGGGTCAGTGGTTGAGCATCTACCCATGAACCAAAAGGTCATTGGTTCAATTCCCAGTCAGAGCACATGCCCGGGTTTCAGGTTTATTCCCCAATGGGGAGTGTGCAGGAGGCACCCAATTGATGAGGTTTCTCTCTCCTCAATGTATCTATCTCTCTATCCTCTCTTTTCCTCTAACTCTAAAATCAATAAAAACATTTAAAAATATATATAATAAATAATGACTACCAAAAAGGACATATGATATAATATAGTACAACTTGAATTAAAATTATAAACTCTAGAGAATTATTTTTAAGGGAAAACATTAGCCCTGGCCAATTATTAAGTAGTTAGTCAGCCCATGCACAGAAGAGTCAAGGGATCAATTCTGATTAAGGACACATACCTCGGTTGCAGGTTTGATCCCTAGATCCTGTCAGGAGACAACGAACTGATATGTCTCTTTCACATAAATGTTTCTCTCTCTCTCTCTCTCTCTCTCTCTCTCTGTCTCTCTCTCTCTCTCTCTCTTTCCCTCTCCCTCTCCCTCTCCCTCTCTCCTTCTTCCTCTCCCTCTTTTTTCCTCCCTGCCCCCCTTCCATACTCTCTACAAATTAATGAAAAATATATATCCTTAGGTGAGGATTAACAAAAATAAATAAATAAATAAATAAATAAATCCTATATAATAAAAGCCTAATATGCTATGTGTCCGTTCAACCAATAAAAATGTAATATGCTAATGATATGGTAAGGGCGCTCAACTGCTTGCTATGACAATCACTGACCACCAAGGGGGAGACACTCAACGCAAGAGCTGCCCCCTGGTGATCAGTGCGCTCCCTCAGGAGGAATGCAGCTCAGCCAGAAGCCAAGTCCACAGCTGGCAAGAGCAGCAGCAGTGGCAGGAGCTTCTTCCACCTCTGTAGCAGTCGGACATCCTCTGAGGACTCCCAGACTGTGAGAGGGTGCAGGTTGAGCTGAGGGACTCCCCTCCAGAGTGCACGAACTTCATGCACTGGGCCTTTAATAAATAACAAAAAGGGAACAATAACAAGCAAAACCAATACAAGGGAGTCAAAAAATCAACATTAGTGCAAAATGTACTGGCACATATACAAGTAAAGCTAAAGTTACATGAACAGAAATAACTCACTGCCAAGACCGGTTTGGCTCAATGGATAGAGCCTCGCCTTGGGGACTGAAGGATCCCGGGTTCGATTCCGGTCAAGGGCATGTACCTTGGTGGCGGGCATATTCCCTGTAGGGGGTGTGCAAGAGGCAGCTGATCGATGACTCTTTCTCATCAATGTTTCTAACTCTCTCTCTTTCCCTTCCTCTCTGTACAAAATCAATAAAAATATATATATTTTTTTAAAAAGAAATAACTCACCAAAAAAATGATAGACTGTTCAAGCTATGAAAAATCTACATATCTAAAGTACAGCCTCTTAGAAATAAAATAAAATGCAAAAAATTTTTCCTGAAGGGAGAGGCATTCCTTAATATGAATATTTAAAAAGGCACATAGCTGAAACTGGTTTGGCTCAGTGGATAGAGCATTGGCCTGCGGACTGAGAGGTCCCAGGTTTGATACCGGTCAAGGGCACCTACCTTGGTTGCAGGCACATCCCCAGTGGGGGGTGTGCAGGAGGCAGCTGGTCGATGTTTCTCTCTCATCGACGTTTCTAACTCTCTATCCCTCTCAATTCTTCTCTGTGTAAAATAAATAATTTTTTTTTTTAAAGGCACATAGATGTAGCTCAGTCAACTGGGTATGCCCTGTGCACCAAAAGGTTGCTGATTCGATTCTTGGTCAGGACACATGCCCGGGTAACAAGCTGGATCCCTGGTAGGAGGCATGCAGGAAGCAGTCTATCAATGTCTTGCTTTCACATTGATGTTTCTGTCTCTCAAAACAAAAAGAAAGCCACACACGCAGAGTTTCTTTCAGGAGTAATCTTTAAAAAGATACCTATTGGTGCATACTATTATATTTTTAACATTTAAAACTAGAATAATTATAACATAAGTTATCAAGAAAGCAACTATTTCTCAATTCTGAACAGTAATTACAGTATCAAATTTCACAATATCAAATTTATCATAAAATATTTGTACTCTTCCTCTTTTTTTTAGTTGTTTCTTTTTATTAAGGTATTACATATGCGTCCTTTCCCCCATTCCCTGCACCATACTCTTCCTTTTTTATCAAATACATTTTTCTAATAAGGCAAAAAGAATAAAAAACAAAATTACCTTAGTTCCCTTTTTAACATATTTGGCATTGTCTTTTTCAATGTCATGCCATGATCTTATAGGTGTCTTCAATTCATCTCCAACCACCATTCCTGGCCCCTGAGTGGCTGGACCACCAATGAACATCATGATACGGGCACCAGTGTTGGGGAAAGTACACTATCAGATAAAAGTAACTCATCAAAAGAGCTTAAAGGAAAACATAAGAATGTACATTTCTGATAATAAACTGTGATAGTCTTTCTTGAAAACAGGCTACGATACATTTTTCAATAAATAAAATAATCAAATGTTTAAAATGAAATTTAAAAACAAAATGTTTGTTTGAATACCTTTCTTTTAAAATCTTCTTCTAAATAATAGTGCCTTCCTAATTTTAAAATAAAACCTGGCAGAAACCACCTTAACCAAGAGATTAAAGCTAACTACGATCAGCAGTAGTAAAACAAGTCAGTATTATGAGCCTCCTGATGTGCTGTACTAAGAATACAAATCAGTTCTGTAACATTCCTGGAAAAGGATATAACCTAAATCTACTCAAGAGGAAAGATCAGATAAACCCAAATTTAGATTTATTCTACAGAATAAGTCTAAACTCTTAAAAAATATCAATGTCATGAAACAAGAAAAACTGAACAACTATTATAGAATAAAGGACACATGTTCCATAATTTTCTTTTGCTATAAAGGGTATTACTAGAATAACTAGTGAAACGCGAATTGAGTTTATAAATTTAAAAAAAAATGTTATATCAGTGTTAATTTCCTGATTTTGTTAACTGAACTGCAATTATAAAAATCTTATTTCTGTACGTAATTAAGAAATATACACTGAAGTATTTAAAAGGGCCATCATGTTTGTAACTGACTTCCAAATAGTTTTCTAAAATTTACATGTGTGTGACATATAAATAGACATATACAGAGACATATAACTATCGAGAGAGAAAGGTAAAACAAATGTAATAAAATATTACCATTTGAGGCATTTGATAAAAGTTCAATTAATCTTTGAAACTTTCTCATAACTTTTCCATATGTTTAGAATGATCTCAAAATAGAAAGTTAAAAGAATAATGATAGTAACAGAATATAATTCACTATATAAAATAGGAAACCATGACTCCATAGTGACATTAATAAACAAATTAATAAATTGAAAGTCTGATGAGTAAGGGAATATTTGCATGGTTTTAAATCTCCTCACCATCTAATATTGACTAATTACAAAGAGAAGGGAAATAATAATTTTATAGTGGAGAAACCTAGGAGATACAACCTTAATGAGTGACCAAAGCAATTATCATCAGTGATGTGATAAAAATCATGTGCCACGTGATAGAATGCAACAAGAATAAAGCATTACTTCTGTGATATATGTAAGACCTGAATCTAATTGTGAGGACACATCAAAACAAACTTAAGTTGAAAGACATTCATAGAATAACTGGTCTGAATCTTCCAAAGTGTCGAAGTCATGAAAAACAAGGAAAAGCTAAGGAAATGTTCCAGATTGAAGGACACAAAACAGACTAAACCACTAAATAAAGGCCTCTGAACTAAATCCTTTTAATAAAAGAAATTACTGGAATAATCAGCAAAACTTGAATGATGTCTGAGAATTACATGATAGTAATTTATCAGTGCTAATATTCTGATTTGAATAGTTGTATTGTTGTTATTTATATAGGAGAATATCTTGGTTTACAGGAAACGCAACCAAAGTATTCAATGGATAGGTAACATCATATCAGCAACTTAATCTCAAATAATTCAAGGGAGAAATTCTTTGCAACTTTTCTGTAAATTTTATAGCATTTCAAATTTTTTAAAAACATTTTAAAATAACTCTTCCCTACGCAATGTAGCGCAAAAATTTCAAACTCTACTTAAAGATAATATGGCCCTATCGGCCAAAACCGGTTTGGCTCAGTGGGTAGAGCATCAGCCTGCAGACTGAAGGTTCCAGATTCGATTCCCATCAAGGGCATGTACTTTGGTTGCGGGCACATCGCCAGTAGGGGGTGTGCAGGAGGCAGATGATTGAAGTTTCTCTCTCATCGATGTTTCTAACTTTCTATCTCTCTCCCTTCCTCTCTGTAAAAAATCAATAAAATATATATATTTTTTTAAATTGCCCTTATTCTATATTAACATTTAGTGACCATACCTTCCAGAAGCCTCTTTATACACAAAAGAATACAGTGCAGATCAAACTTTAAATAAAATCATATACTTGCTCAACTATGACCTCATTTATTTCACTCAACATTATCTAGTACATATTATCCCATCCAGAAATACATTTACATTGCAAAATGAAGCTATTGTCACTACCTCAAGTAGTCCTACTGCTATGGAAAGTGCCACCCCAGAAGAACGCAAAGGTCTCTTTCCCTGTGATACAGGCCAAGGGTCTCGCTGCAATTCCCCCAGAAGATCTGTGAGATTCATGTCTATTTTCTGTACTGGCTGCAAGAACCTGCAAAACAAAATTAAATAAAAAGCCACTTATTTGTAGGTGAATGTTTAAGAAACAAACTATCCACTTTCTTTTTTTCTTTTTTTTTTTAATTTTAGAGAGAAAGAGGAAGAGAGAGAAAAATCTGTCTCTGTACCCCAAACGGGCAAGAACTCACAACCTAGGCATGTGCCCTAAGGAATCAAACCAGGATCTTTTGGTATGTGGGATAATGCTCCAACCAACTGAGCCACACCATCCAGGGCCATCCATTTTCTTAAAAACATAGAAAAAGAATTTGAATACAGGATACACCAATGGTTCTCAAAACTCTTATGTAGGTACATCAGAAGCTTGTAGAAGGGCTTGTTTTAACACACATTGCTGTTTTAACACAGTGTTGTGCCCTAAGCTTAGTGTACAGAGCATCAGCCTGTGGACTCAAGGGTCTCAAGTTCGATTCCAGTTAAGGGCATGTGCCTTGGTTGCAGGCACATCCCCAGTAAGGGGTGTGCAGGAGGCAGCTGATTGATGTTTCTCTCTCCCTCTCCCTTCCTCTCTGTAAAAAAATCAATAAAATGTATTTAATTTAAAAACACACACACCTTAGCACACAAAGCCACCCTAACCAACTCAGGGAAGCTGTGAAAATGCCGAGACAAGAAAATAGATCACAAACAAAAGAAATGGAGGAAAAGAAGCGACTGGATATAGAGTTCAAAACTACGCTTATAAGGTTTTTCAAGAATTTCCTAGAAAAGGTCAATAAGACCTATGAGGAGATGAAAAGGGATCAACAAGAACTAATAAGGGATCAACAAGAAATAATAAGGGATCAACAAGAAATAAAGAATACATTCTCTGAAATAAAAAATATTATACAGAGTCCTAAAAACAGAATGGGAGGATCCAAGATGGCTGCTCGGGTAGACATCTAGCCGCGGCAGCACACAACAATTTCAATGGAATACAACTAAAATGTAGAGTGGACATTGCCCAGAGCTACAGGTAGTCGACTGACTGAAATTTCTACAAGAAGGAAAGAGAAAACCAGGAAAGAAAATCAGAGGAGCTGAAAAAAAGCCTAAGGTACGGAGACATGCTGTGCGCGCGTCCGCCCGCACGCGCGCACGGAGAGGTCGCAGCCGGAGAGGAGGAGAGGGCGGGGAGCCGCCTTTCCTTCCCTAGCAGGAAGGAAATAAAACCCCCAGCCTGGGCTGAACCCCCGAACCGGCAGTGCTGAACCCCCCCGAACCCGGCAGCGCTGAGCCCCAGTTATGGGCCAGACCCTGGGGACCCAGGCTCCCGCGGGAAGAGACGGGGCTGTGAGGCGGAAAAACGGCGAAAAGCAGGGCCCCAGGAGTCGCGCGCAATGCGCGCAGAGGACTGAATGTTGACTCTGATGCTGGGTTACCCTAGCCGGAAGAAACAAGGCCTCCGGCAGAGCTGAGCCTCAGTCCGGACTGCTCCGAACCCCAGTTCTGGGCTAATCCCTGGGGACCCAGGCTCAGGCAGAGGGAGACGGGGCTGTGAGGTGGAGTCTGGGGAGAGCACGAAAGGCCGGGCCCCCGGGACTCGCGCAAACTGCGCGCAGAGGACAGTCTGTGGGACTCGCGCAAACTGTGCGCAGAGGACAGTCTGTGGGACTCGCGCAAACTGCGCGCAGAGGACAGTCTGTTGACTCTGATGCTGGATTTCTCTAGCAGGAAGGAGAAAAAAAAAAAGCTCTAGGCTGGGGGAACACGGAGGGGAGCGGAAGCCCCTGCCGGACTCCAGCCAACCGGCACCAGCAAGGAGGCGGGCTCAGGACCCCTGGGGGCGTGGGTGCCCCTGAGCCTTTGACCACTGAGCTTGGGCAATGGAGCCAAGGCCGGGGGCTGCTTCCTGGGCGGCGCCGTCCCCTGCAACAGGCTGAAGCAGCGCAGGAGCCCGCGGAGAACAAAGGGGTGCCACAGGCCAACCTGCTGAGCTCCCAGGACAAGGAGGAAGAAACCAAAGAAGTTCTCAATGTGAAGAAATCAAGTGAGAGCAAAAAATAATAAAATTACTTAAGAAAGAATACAAAGAAGATCTTGAAAAATCAAAGACTAAGTCAGAACTCAATTCACCAGCCAACATTGCAACATAAATGCGTTTTAAAAAGAAAAAAGAAAAAAAAAAAAGGACAGAATGTTGAAACAGCGGTGGCCAGGCCTAGAGTGGCCAGGCACAAGGCAGTGGCAGCCAGACCCGGAGCAGCAACGGCCAGGCACCAGAACAACAGCAGCCAGAACCAGAGCATCAACAGCCAGCACTGGAGTAGCCAGACCTGGGGCAGTGGCAGCCAGGCATGAGGTGGAGGCGGCCAAGCCCAGGGTGGCCAGTCCAGGAACACCCAGACCCTGAGTGGCCGGGCCCGGAGAAGCCGGGCCCAGAGCAGCCGGGGTGGGAGCAGCCAGACCCAAAACAGCAGTAGCCAAGCCCAGAGCATCCAGGTCGGGAGTGGCCAGGCTCGGAGCGGCCGGGCCCGGGGCAGCCGGGCCCAGAGCAGCCGGGTCAGGTACGGCGAGGCCCGGAGCAGCGGCTGCCAGGCTGGGAGCAGCCAGGCCCGGGGGAGCAGCCGGGTCGGGTGCGGCCAGGGCCGGAGCAGCGGCTGCCAGGCTGGGAGCAGCCAGGCCCGGGGGAGCAGCCGGGTCGGGTGCGGCCAGGCCCGGAGCAGCGGCTGCCAGGCTGGGAGCGGCCAGGCCCGGGGGAGCAGGCGGGTCGGGTGCGGCCAGGCCCGGAGCAGCGGCTGCCAGGCTGGGAGCGGCCAGGCCCGGGGGAGCAGGCGGGGCTTGTGCGGCCAGGCCCGGAGCAGCGGCTGCCAGGCTGGGAGCGGCCAGGCCCGGGGGAGCAGGCGGGTCGGGTGCGGCCAGGCCCGGAGCAGCGGCTGCCAGGCTGGGAGCGGCCAGGCCCGGGGGAGCAGGCGGGTCGGGTGCGGCCAGGCCCGGAGCAGCGGCTGCCAGGCTGGGAGCGGCCAGGCCCGGGGGAGCAGGCGGGTCGGGTGCGGCCAGGCCCGGAGCAGCGGCTGCCATGCTGGGAGCGGCCAGGCCCGGGGGAGCAGGCGGGTCGGGTGCGGCCAGGCTCGGAGCAGCGGCTGCCAGGCTGGGAGCGGCCAGGCCCGGGGGAGCAGGCGGGGCTGGTGCGGCCAGGCCCGGAGCAGCGGCTGCCAGGCTGGGAGCGGCCAGGCCCGGGGGAGCAGGCGGGTCGGGTGCGGCCAGGCCCGGTGCAGCGGCTGCCAGGTGGGAGTGGCCAGGCCCGGAGCAGCAGCAGCCAAGTCCAGAGCAACTAGGTCGGGAGCGGCAGTGACCAGACCCGGAGCAGCTGGTTGTGGAATGAACCAGAGCAACAGAGGCCAGGCCCTGAGCAGCCAGGCCCAGAACAGCTCGCTCCTTGCCTGCCCCTGCCCCATGGCTGCTTCTCAGACATGGCTGGAAACTTTCGTGGGAACTTGTGGGTCTGCTGAATCATGTGATGAAGGCTTAGATCTGGATGTGTTGAGTTAGTTTCGGACTGGGGTGTTGATCTGTGAGTGCCTTGGGTGGGGCCTAGATGAGGCTGGTGGACCTATTGGGAAATGTCTTTTGTGTGAAGTGTATCATTGGGCATGTGGAGGTATTATTGATATGAGAAAATGCTAAGTAACTGATTTACTATCTGAAAAGGGATTTACTATTGGGGAAATTGAGGGAAGAAGAGACTGAACATAAACTGCACCTATGGATGAGGACAATGGGGGATGGGGAGGGGGCAGAGGGTGGGGTGGGAACCTGGTGGAAGGAGGAAGAAATGAGGAACCTTTGTAATAATATGAATAAAGATTGATTTAAAAAAAATAAAATAAAATAAAATAAAATAAAATAAAATAAAATAAAATAAAAACAGAATGGAAGATCGCAAGAATCAAGTCAAAGATTTGGAACATAAAGAGCCAGAAGACACTCCTCCGAAGAAGCAAGACGACAAGAGAATCCAGAAAGTTGAAGATAATGTAAGAAGCCTCTGGGACAACTTCAAGCAAACCAACATCAGAATTATGGGGGTCCCAGAAGATGAGAGAGAGCAAGATACCGAAAACATACTGAAAGAAATGGTGTCAGAAAACTTCCCCCACCTGGGGAAAGAATTAGACTTACAAGTCCAGAAAGCGCACAGAACTCCAAACAAAAGGAATCCAAAGAATACCACACCAAGACAAATCATAATTAAAATTCCAAGAGCAAAAGACAAAGAGAGAATATTAAAAGCAGCAAGAGAAAAGCAGGCAGTTACTATAAAGGAGCACTCATATGATTGTCAGCTGATTTCTCAACAGAAACCATGCAGGCCAGACGGGAATGGCAAGAAATATTCGAGGTGATGAATAGCAAGAACCTACAGCCAAAAACAATCTACCCAGCAAAGCTATCACTCAGAATTGAAGGCCAGATAAAGAGCTTCACTAATAAAAAATAAAAAAAAGCTAAAGGAGTTCCTCACGGCCAAACCAGAATTATATGAATTGCTGAAGGGGGTTCTTTCAGAAGAGAAAGTAAATAAAGATAAAAACTATGAACAACAAATACGTAACTATCAACAAGTGAATCTAAAAATCAAGGGAATTAAAAAAAAAATCTATAAACAATATTAACTGTTGAATATAATAGAATCAGAGGTATGGAAGGGGAGTGAACTGACGATTCTCGGGGAAAAGGGGAGAGGGGGGTGTGGGAAGAGACTAAACATAAACTGTGCACCTATGGATGAGGACAATGGGGTGTGGGGAAAGGACAGAGGGTGGGGTGGGAACCTGGGGGAAGGAAGCAAATAGGGGGGAGGAGGGGAATGAGAAACATTTGTAATAATATGAACAATAAAGATTTTATTTTAAATAATAATAAAAAAAATAAAAATAAACACACACAGAGAGAGAGAGAGAGAGAGAGAGAGAGAGAGAGAGTGAGTGAGTTGTTTCAGATAATCTGGGGTGGACCTAGAAATCTGTATTTCAAACAAGTTCCCAGTTGATGCTGACACTACTGGTCCTGGAACCACACTTTTGAGTATAATTGCTATAAATGAAACAGTCAAGCCAAATATTACTTCAGGACTATATCGTTCATTTACCAATCTAGTAAGTATTTAGGTTATTGAAATAGTTATGAGAAGAGATGTCAACTCAATTTTAGTAATACCTCCTCTGATTGGAGAGTTTAGGGGGGAAAGCAACCTCGAAGACTAAGAAGGCAAAATGAAAAGCTTTTGAGGCTATAGTTCTTTTTGCCCGCCCTCAACCACAAAATTCCCTTTTTCCAAACTGAAAAACAGAAACTCAGGAATATATCAAAACAATAGTAAATCCTTACATTATAATGATGAGAAACCAACCACTTTACTAGTAATGATGGAATTCTGTCTCAACTCTTTTAAAAATATACTAATGCAATCTACTTATATTCCAAAAAATATTTAATAGTATCATTGAATGTCTATGTTCAAGTTAAGGGTAAGGGATGCTTAAAATAGCTGGGCGAATTGTCAAATTTTCTTTGTCATATTTATTACCTATTTGAAGGAGGTGGCTGCTGTACCTGAGGACCACGTGTTGCTTGAGTAACAGGTACTTTAGAGAGCCCCAGCATTTCCTGTAAAGAGATTATTTCTGTGATATCCATATCATTACTCCTAAAAGATGTCTCAACAATTTACCATGTGCAAGATTCTATGTTAGGTAGTAGGAACCCAAAAATAAAGAACAAGTCTCTTTCCTCAGGAAGCAAAATGTCTAGCCATAAGCGGCCATAGGTGACCTCTGAAAATGGTTTGCTATTCACTAGACCCAGAAAACCCCACAAAATCATAAAAACCAAGAGGCTCAAATCTCCTCCGTGTTCCCTTTAAGAACACTTGTGAAACTGCCCAGGCCATCAGGACATGCATATTTGAAAAGCCACCAGTATCTGAAGGATGTCACCTTAAAGAAACAGTGTGCCATTCCATCATTACAATGGTGGAGTTGGTAAGTGTGTCCAGGAGAAACAGTGGGGCTGGACACAGAGAAGGGTGGAGAAAGGCGAAGAGAAAGAAATATGGATTTATTGTTCCCACTTATTTATGCATTCATTGGTTGATTCTTGTTTGTGCCCTGATTGGGGATCGAACCCACATCCTTGGTGTATGGGGTGCTCTACCAACTGAGCTATGTGGCTAGGGCTAAGACCAGACTCTTTTCAACTTGACGGTTAATGATAAAAGATAAGAACATTTTAATAGAGGAGAAAAAAAAATTATGAGAATTTACAGCCCGTTACAAAAAGGCAGTTTTGTGTTACGTATGTATTATATAACTTAAGTAAAATATACTCTATACTCAGAACTAACATTAAGCCACTTTAAGTTAACAATTTAAAAATAACAAATGCATAAAGGCACAATCCATTTCATTTTGATGACCACCCTGTAAGGTAATTACTGTTCTTATCTCCCTCTTACAATTGAAAAAAATAAGGCACAGAGAGGTTATAACTTGCCCACTTTCTCTCCTGTCTCATGTAAGGTACTCTACTTCCTGTGCTCCTGAAGGAATCCCTACCATGTCTTCTGAAACCTCACTCTCCTCATCTCGCCCTGCTTTCACCCACCCTCTTTAGTCTCTCCCTTCTGTGTAAAAACATATTCAAATGTCCCTCCTAAACAAAACCACTTTAACTCAGTTCTCTCTCTCTCTCTCAAACCTCCACACTATCACCTAAATAATCCTAGTATGCTACACATAACTCCCTGGCCTTGAAAGCTTCATTTTCCCAGAAGATAAAAATGTCATCCTAGCATAAAAGAAATACATATATCTATAATTCTTATATTAAAAATCCTAACACCTTAAATTGTCTCCTTTTGCCAAACATAATAAAAGTGTTTAGTTTAGTTCCTAAGTGATAGATGTCAAGAAACAAAAGCTAATATTCTGCAGTTGCTTTTGCTTGTCTTCAGTATGACACTTCTATAAGGCCTTCAAATCTCTAGTAAAATACTTGGTTTTACTTTAAATGTTAAAGATGCCATTAAAAGTGAAAGATCTTTGATCTGTATGATAAAAGTGTAAGGCAAATAAAAGAAAACTGATGCCTACACTAAATGTAAAGCCTTTGTTACAGCACAATTATATTAGTCAATTACAATAAAAATATTTTCTAGAAACTTACATCCAGAAGTTTTTTCAGACATATCTAGAATGATGCTCACAGATAGGCTGCTGTTTACCTGCAGTTGTTTGGCAGACAGATCTTTTGTTCCTCTGAAGACATAACTTTTTGAAATGCCCTCACATCCAAGTTCATGAACCTGCACCATTCTCCCAAAAGTAATAAGTCCAACCAAGGCTGTAGGTGGTAAAAGACTTAATGACATCTGCATAGATTCCTTCAAAGCTTGTAAATCTTCATCTTCCATGCAAGTATCAACCACATAGAGGAATATCAAAGGCATCTGAGGGCCACGCTATTAAAACACATTGCCATCAGGAAAAAAAAAAAAGTTGTTTTAAAAGTATTAACACTTCAGTGCAATATATAAGAATAATCAACAGACATTCATACAATGGAGCCCTAATAAAGCTATTTCAAAAATGAAACAGGTTATATATGCATGGAGAGACATCCAAGACATATCATCAAGTGAAAAATTATTCATTGTAAAAAAAAATTGTTAAGTTATATAGAGGAAACATTCACTCTCATTCTCAATTTTATTTAACTGCATGAGGTTTAATATCTTATAACAAGTATTTACTCCTATTAAAATAAAATAAAAAATAGTAACTCTAAAGCTTAAAAGCATGTAGTGAATTTATAAAATAATTGCCTACACCTGAATTAGATTGTAAGAGAACTGGACTCTAGCAAGGTTGAACACATTACTGACTGGCTCAAGTGAACTATAATCTGCTTTCTCTACAATACTCATAAAGGCTATTATCATTTTTACTCTTAAATACAGAAACAACTAAGTAAAACTATTCAGAGAGGGAAGAAAAACTGATTTTCCTAGAAAGAACCAATACAACAATAATTTCATTATCTAGCCTTGGGGATATATCATCAGGCTCCATAATCAGATTGACTAAATATATGTAAACTAAGTAAGAGTGATACTTTAGTATTTAATTATTTACTCGGTAGCAGAGCACACCATCCCATCCAATATCCTGGCCACCCATCAAATAACTACAAAAGAGAATATTACCTTGCTTAAAATGACTAAAAAGTCTTATCTTAGAAATGATCCATCAATTCAATGTGAAAATCAAGAGTGCCAACTTTTAAGTCATCTCCATTTAACAACTATTTTGGTATAAATTATTATATTTAAAACTTCATTCAAGATTTACTCTTATGTTCTTACCAGAACTACATATTCAATGCTAGAAAACTGAGGTAAAAGTTCAGCAGGTTGATTCAGTTCAGATATACCAGCATAAGTAGGTGGAAACTACAGAAACAAAAATATTTAACAAATTGTCAGAAAGAGTAGTAATGGCATTTTAAACTAAAGATAAATATTTCCTGATCATATAATTATGAAAAAAATCAGTATTTTCATTATACAACAACAATTTCATCTTTCTTTTTAAGTATACATATTTAGAACAGTATCAAAGCATTAACATGTGTAATGGAGATTTTCTTACCTGGTTTCTTTGATAACAAAAGTTGCAAGCCCAGAGTTTTGCTCGATAATCCACTTGACTGTTTTAAGAAAAGATACAACAGCTCATATTTCAGTTCTATTTTACAAGAATCCTAATATCAATAAAATTAATTTCTTTCTAAAATATGAATATATTCAAATATAGTCAAAGTGATCTTCAAAAGCCATCTATTTTTAAATGCTACCAATATCTAATCCATACTTTTAACATATACAAGTTTACTTATAAATATACTATAACTTTAAGTGTATAGTAAATATTAATGAAATTAAGATGACTACTCAGGTGTAGAAAAATCAAAAATGATTTATTGAATGCTTAACATGCTATTTTTCTAAGTGCTAGTGATAGTGAACAAGACACTAAAGCTCCCTGGTCTCATTGAGTTTATATTCTCAATATAAACGGAAGATATTTGTTTGTTTGTTTGTTTTTAGAGAGAAAGGACAGAAAGAGGGAGAGACAGAAATATCAATGATTAAAGGGAATCACTGATCTTCTGCCTCCTGCATGCCCCACACTGGGGATCAAGGCAAAACCTGGCATATGCCCCATCTCCTGGTTCACAGGTCAATGCTCAATCACTAAGCCACACTGTCAGGACACTTTTTTTATTTTAAAGAAGATCAATTTTTTTAAATATATTTTAGTCATTTTTTTTAACAGAGAGGAAGGGAGAGGGATAGAGAATTAGAAACATCAATGAGAGAAATATCAATCAGCTGTCTCTTGCACACCCACTACTGGGGATGTGCCCGTAACCAAGGTACATGCCCTTGACCGGAATCAAATCTGAGACCCTTGAGTCTGCAGGCCAACATTCTATCAACTGATCTAAACTGATTAGGGCTGTCAGAGCACTTTTTAAAACATAGATATTTTAATGATTTTTGAGAGAAAGAGTAAGGGAGAAAGAGAAGAGAAAGAGAAACATAAATGTGAGAAACATCAATAGGCTTCTGTCACACCTCCTGCTGGGGACTGAGCCTGCAACCCAGGCATGTGGCCAGTTTGAAAATTGAGTGGACAACCTTTTAGTGCACAGAATGACACCCAACCAACTGTGCCACACTGGCCAGTACTAAACAGATGATACTTTTAGATAGTAATAATAAAAATTAATGAAAACAAAGCAGGATGTGAGAATGTGTTTGTGAGGGCTACCTTAAAGGAAGGCCTTCTTAAACAATTGAAATATAACCTAAGTGAAAAGGAACCTGTCATAGGAAAATCTGGGGGTAGAGCAATCCAGGCAGACTACATACCTATTACTCAAGTTCCGAGGTAGAAATAAGTTTGGTATATTCAAAAATCATAGAGGCCGAAACCGGTTTGGCTCAGTGGTAGAGCGTCAATCTGTGGACTGAAAGGTCCCAGGTTCGATTCCGGTCAAGGGCATGTATATTGGTTGCGGGCACATCCCCAGTAGGTGGTGTGCAAGAGGCAGCTGGTCGATGTTTCTCTCTCATTGACATTCTAGCTCTCTCTCTCTCCCTTCCTCTCTGCAAAATATCAATAAAATATATATATTTTTTTTAATCATAAAGAGGAGCCCTGGCCAGGTAGTTCAGTTGGTTATAGTATCGTCTGATACACCAAGGTTGGGGGTTCAGTCCTGATCATTGCACATATAAGAATCAACCAATAAATGCATAAATAAGTGTAAGAACAAATCCATCTCTTTCTCTCTCTCTCCTCCTCTTCCTATCCTCATCTCTAAAATACATACATACTTTTTTTAATTTTAAGTCAGAAAGGGGATAAGGTATAAAGTAGATGAGCCCAGCCAGTGTTCCACAGTGATTGAGCATTGACCTATGAGCCAGGTCACAGTTCGAGTCCTGGTCAGGGCACATGCCTGGGTTGTGGGTTCGATCCCAAGTGTAGGGCATGCAGGAAGCAGCTGATCAATGATTCTCTCTCCTCATTAATGTTTCTATCTCTCCTCCTCTCCCTTCCTCTCTGAAATGAATAAAAATATGATTATTTTAAATAATAAAAATAAACTAGATGAGTATTAGATAAACATGATATGAGGGCAGAAATATATAGAGGGCAGATCATATAGGGCTTTAGAGGACTTTCTAAGGGGATTTTTTTATTCCAACTCTGAAAAGAAGCTATTGGAGGATTTTAATAACCTGATACCCATTTATAAAACTCTAGCTTTTAGGTGGAGAATAAACTGCTAAAAGGTACGAATCAAAATAGAGAGACCAATTAGGAAGTTAATGAAATTGACCAGAAAAAGATAGTATATCTTCAAGCAGAATGTATTAGCAAAGATTGAATATGAGACAGAATCAGTAATGTTTTGGAGATAGAATTGATCATATTTGCTAGAAGACTGGGAAGGAATGAGGGAGTGGAAAGAAGAATAAAAATGATTCCTGATTTTTTGTTTATGCAACAAGAAATCGTAACATTTTCAAACACCATGCAATTCAATTATGACTTTTCTAATTGACAAGAGGTGTGTTGATAAACAGCCAGTACCAGAATCTAGAAAATACAGATAAGACATAATGATTTATATAGGAACAATTTAACATTTGGTCTCTTATTACCTAACTACTCCTAAAATCTCCCTAGCTAGTTTGGCTCAGTGGATAGAACGTCGGCCTGCGGACTGAAGGGTTTTGGGTCCGATTCTGGTCAAGAGCACATGCCCAAGTTGTGGGCTCAATCCCCAGAAGGGGGCATACAGGAGGCAGAATATCAATGATTCTCCCTCATCATTGATATTTCTATCTCACTCTCCCTGTTCCTTCCTCTCTGAAATAAAAATATATTTAAAAAATAAAATAAAATCTTTAAGCTCTTTGGATTTGACTATCCTCATTTGAAAATAAATAACTATAAACAAAGACTATTTTCTATTAATGAGTGAGAAAGAAACTACATTTCTAAATCATACTACCCTATTCATTTTTTCCATATATATAAATTACCATAAAGGATTCAAAACTGCACGGCAAGTGGTCCTACTACACAAAACAGGCTCATATTGAATAGGTGGTAAATCAGGTCTCTCCTTTAGTGGTGTAAATAAGGCTGCTACTGGAACAACCATTCTTGTAGCTTCCAGCCGACTTGATGGCCAAACATTCCAACTAAATCGTACTCCATCTCGTTCTTCATTTTGTTGTATAAATTCCAAATAGGTTGTCATTGTGGAGCTTGAGTCTTATTTCTGTAAAATAATTAAAAGATATTCTCAGAGACTTCCCTTCAAGAGAAACCAAGATGGCGACATAGGTAAACATCTTAACTGCTGCCCCAAACAACAATTTCAAAACTACAAATAAAAGACAAAACAGACATCATCCAGAACCACAGGAAGGCTGGCTGAGTAAAAATTCTACAGCTAGAAGGAAAGAGAAAAGCACACAGACTCACAGGAGCACCGGAAGTGCAGGTGTACGAAGGCACGCATGCAGAGAGGGCTAGCAACTGAGTATGTGGCTGGCTTTCTCAATTGGGAGGGAGACAAAAGCTCCTGACTGCTCTGAACTCTAGTTCCGGGTGAGACTCTGGGGAGAAACTGGACTGTCTGGCAATGGGCAAAACTTGAGGGCAGCTTTCTCTCAAAGGTAGTTGCAGCAATTACTGGGGGACACTGAGACCCAGGGGCCTCTTAGGGCAGGGAAGACATGAAGCCACTGCTGTTTGCTCCTTCCTGAGATCCCACTCCACAAAACCATTGCAGTTTGCTCTACCCTGAGACTCCACCCCATCCAAGCTGAGCACAGGGGTTTTTGCATATGAATAGTCTGGTCCTTTTGAATTCTAAACTTACCTAACAAACTGCAGTTGACCAATGAGACCCAGAACACCCAAAAGAAGGCCCAAGGCCATGAGCAGATTACGTTGCTTCACAGCTGGCCCTTGTCTGGGCACCTCCAAACCCCAAACAAAGAAGAGAAATCTGAAGATCTCTCTGTAGCTCCTGCTGAGTAGCCTCAGGCAGAAGCTAAATTTGCACCTCCTTGGAGAGCCAAGAGCCAGTGTACCCAGGGGTCAGAGTGGAATCATCCAGATTACAACTCCTCAGATCGATAAGGGACACACTCAGGGGTCAGACTCAGTGAGCACCAAAGCCCCACTGAAACAAGTCTTGTCTCATAAGGGTGTCTCCAGCACAGAATTTCTCCCACCATTGACACAAGTGATCCTCAAAGCCAATTGGCCTGAAGCTCAATTCCTCCCAGTGATACCAACAACAATTAAGGCTTAACTACAAGACTATGCACACAGCCCACAAAGTGATGCACCAAGAGTATCCACCTCAGGTAATTGGTAAGGCTGAGCCAGTGGGCCCTATAGGACACCTAGCATTCATAGCCACTCTATCAACATAGGGAAGCATCCAAAATGCAGAGACAGCCAAAGCCAGTTTGTCTCAGTGGATAGAGCGTCAGCCTGCAGACTGAAAGGTCTCAGGTTTGATTCCGGTAAAGGGCATGTACCTTGGTTGGGGACACATCCTCAACAGGGGGTGTGCAGGAGGCAGCTAATCAATGTTTCTCTCTCATTGGTGTTTCTAACTCTCTATCTCTCTCCCTTCCTCTCTGTAAAAAATCAATAAAATATATATTTTTTTAAAATGCAGAAACAGGTCACAAATGACAGAAATTAAGGAAAGCAAACTACTGGATATAGAGTTCAAAACCACAGTTATAAGGTTTTTCACAAATTGTCTAGAAAAGGCTGATAAATTTAGTGAGACCCTTGAGAATATGAAAAAGGGCCAACTAGAAATTAAACATACACTGACTGAAATAAAGATTAATATACAGCCGGGACCGGTTTGGCTCAGTGGATAGAGCGTCGGCCTATGGACTAAAAGGTCCCGGGTTTTATTCCGGTCAAAGGCATGTACCTTGGTTGCCGGCACATCCCCTGTGAGGGGTGTGTAAGAGGCGGCTGGTCGATGTTTCTCTCTCATCGACGTTTCTAACTCTCTGTCCCTCTCAATTTTTCTCTGTGCAAAATCAATAAAATATATTTTTTAAAAAAAAGATTAATATACAGAGATCCAACAGCAACTAGAGTATCCCAAGAATCAAGTCAAAGATTTGAAATACAAAGAAGCAAAAAACACCCAACCAGGAAAGCAAAAAGAAAAAAAACAATCCAAAAATATGAAGATAGTATAAGGAGCCTCTGGAACAACTTCAAGCATAAACAACATCTGAATTACGGGGGTGCCAGAAGAAGAGAGAGAGCATGATACTTAAAATCTATTTGAAGAAATAATGACAGAAAACTGCCACCTGGTGAAAGAAATAGACTTACAAATCCAGGAAGCACACAGAACCAAAAACAAAAAGAATCCAAAGAGGACCACACCAAGACACATCATAATTAAAATGCCAAGAGCAAAAGACAAAAAGACAATATTAAAAGCAGCAAGAGAAAAACAGTTATGTACAAGGGAACGCCCACACGATTGTCAGCTGATTTATCAACAGAAACTATCCAGGCCAGAGGGAGTGGCAAGAAATATTCAAAGTGATGAATAGCAAGAACTTACAACCAAGATTACTCTACCCAGCAAAGCTATCATTCAGAATTGAAGGGCAGATAAAGAGCTTCACAGATAAGAAAAAGCTAAAGGATTTCATCAACACCAAACCAGTATTATATGAAATGCTAAAAGGTATTCTTTAAGGAGAGGAAGAAGAAAAAGGTAAAGATAAAAGTTATGAACAACAAATACATATTTATCAACAAGTGAATCAAAAAAATAAGTGAATAAAAAATCTGATAAACAGAATAAACTGGTGAATATAATAGAATCAGGGGCATAGAAAGGGAGTGGAATGACAATTCTTGGGGGAAAAGGGGTTGGGGGGTACAGGAAGAGACTGGGCAAAAATCGTACACCTATGGATGAGGACGGGGGGGGGGGGGGGGGGAAGGGCAGAAGGTGGGGTGGGAAATGGGTGGAAGGGAGTTATGGGGGGGGAAAGAGGAACAATTGTAATAATGTGAACAATAAAGATTTATTTTTAAATATATATATATATATATATATATATATATTCTCAAACTCTCTTATGAAAATTCAAAATAAGTATGTTTTCCCTACTTTCAACAATATTAATCGACTAGAAATCATTACCAAAGAAAATATTTATCTTGGAAAAAAATTAGCAAGCAACAATAATCCCACTTATAACAAAATAATAAATGACTCTTAGACCCAAAAAGTAGTAAATTTACTACCAGGGGAAGGAGGATGCCATCCTGATTAGGGGACAAAATCAAGCTATATCTCCACCTTGTTACTCTCTAATTACTTATCTAAGATGTCAGCTTTCCTACCTAGGCAACAATTCTATCTTGTGTTCTCAAACTACAACAGTGGTTAGTGTTAGAAAGAAATCAATAAAAAAAAAAAAAATATATATATATATATATATATATATATATATATATATATATATATATATATAGAAAAAGAGCCAACATGGATGCTGAAGTTGCTAAGAACAATGATGTGATGAGGAACTGATTCTCAAATATTAAGTAGAGGAGGAAAAATATAATTCAATAAAAGTATATTATAGCCCTAACCAGTTTGCCTCAGTGGATAGAGCATCAGCCTGCGGACTGGATGGCCTCAGGTTTGATTCCAGTCAAGGGCATGTACTTTGGATGCAGGCACATCCCTAGTGAGGGATGTGCTGGAGGCAATTGATCGATGTTTCTCTCTCTCATCAATGTTTCTAACTCTCGATCCTTCTCCCTTCCTCACTGTAAAAAATCAATAAAATATATTTATAAAACAAAAATATAAAAGTATTATGTAATTTTTATTTTAGAAACATTTCAAATAAATTTTGATAATACAAATTACAGAAAGTGAACCTTACAAATATAAGTATCTTAAGTAGCTAAGAGCTTCCTCTACTTTAAAAGAAATAAGATGCCAATTATACCTCAATTAATAAAATTAAAATTAAACAGTATTTCCTCCTATCAGAATCTGAGAGACCAGAACAGAATCTTCTGTTAAATAAGAGCAAACATGGATTTACAAAGGATGATAAAGAATAAAGAGAAATTCTAAGATAACTAAATATATTTAGAAATAAATTATTTTGAAGGTACATTTTATATAGGAGATAGCTTTGAGAAGGATGATACAAACTCTCATGAAAAAGTGGTTGTTGAAAGATAATGGTAAAACAAAGGCCTGAGATAGTCAAAGGGAGTTAGAAGGTGCCAACCTTTCTAACATAGGCCACAGTAGGAGAAACAATCTTCTTTGGGAGAGAAATCCAGTGTTTAGCAACAGTTTCCATGATACAGATGTAAACATAAATTCTAGGAGTTCCGCCATGGCCTCCAAGACAGCGAATCGTACTCCTCCAAGATCTCATCGGGAGCTGGAGGGGCGCATCCCAGGACAGGAAAAGTATTCCGTGCTGTTGCCCACCTACAACAAGCGTGAGAACCTGCTGCTCATCATGTGGCTGCTGGTGAAAAGCTTCTCCGAGAGTGGAATAGACTATGAAATTATAATCATAGATGTTGGGAGCCCAGATGGAACAAGGGAAGTTGCTGAACAGTTGGAGAAGATCTATGGATCAGACAAAATTCTTCTAAGACCAAGGGAGAAAAAGTAGGGGCTAGGAAATGCATATATACCTAGAATGAAACATGCCACAGGAAACTACAAAATTATTATGGATGGTGATCTCTCACATCATGAAGCAAAAGGAAGGTAATTTTGATATTGTCTCTGGAACTCACTACAAAAGAAATGGAGGTGTTTATGGCTGGGATTTGAAAAAAAAAATTAATCAGCCATGGGGCCAATTTTATAATATAACTCAGATTTTGCGGAGACCAGGAGCACCTGATTTAACAAGAAGTTTCAGATTATACTGAAAAGAAGTTCTACAGAAATTAACAGAAAAATGTGTTTCTAAAGGCTACGTTTTCCAGATGGAAATGATTGTTCGAGCAACACAGTTGAATTACACTATTGGCAAGGTTCCAATAACATTTGTGGATCATGTTTATGGAGATCCTAAGTTGGGAGGAAACAAAATAGTTTCTTTCTTGAAAAGATTATTGACTCTTTTTGCAACTACATAATAAAAAGTTGTTTATCACGTTCATTTCAATTTTTTTTAAGTTATATATTGCATTTATTCA